GCAAAAGACAATTTTTGCCTTTCTAGTAAACTAATTACAGTTGAATTACACGCTTGTCGTGGCTTATACGAAACATGATTGACAACGGTTTCTCACGGTTTTGTTTATTAAGACGATTTTGAATAATTTTTACCCGAGACAAATTTTGTTGGCGATGCGTCTGAAGATTTTTCCGCTTCGGCCAAATTCGACTCAAGAAGTGGGCAGAAACACGATTGTGTTTCTTCTTAAACTTCTTTCGTGCTCTATCCTCTTCGTGCGTGCTTTACAACAGAACAGTAAGAGACTGATCATGCGTGTTACCACAAATCTTTTGATCTGGCGTAGGCTAAGAAAAACGATCGCGTCTGTAAACAAAATTTACGCCATAGTTACCACAAACTAATCTTACCTTGAAACCTCCGCTATAAACGTGTCTGATCAAGACTGTGTACATGTAGCTATCGCTAGCATAAACATGAAGGCTGATTTTTCAACAACTCCAACACACTTGGTAAAAGACATGCAAATGTTTCTGGGAATTGTATTAATAATTAATCAGGTCTCAAAATGAGCCCTTATCGCTAAGTTACTCTTTGGAAGCAGACAGTGACACTTCGTAACATTCCTCAGGTATTTCATTCCGCTCTTCGCTGTCTGTACGTTTCCTGCTAAAAGTAAATTTTCTTTCGATATTCTGGAAATTTTTCATCAGGGTACACAGAAAGAACTTGAGTTTGTAGAGTTTTAGGGTTTTTTTAAGTACCACACTTGTGACTTGACAGCCAGGACGCATTGCGCGACCGAAAAATGAAATACGATGCAACCAAGGTGTACAGCCTAACACTGACCTTTCTTGATGCATCCCTATAAACCAGTTTCGTCATAGCTGAAACACACATTCTTTATTTGTTTCCTCCACTCAGTCTATTCCTCTGACTGAATAACACTGATGATCAAAGGGCTTCGCGGTGAGCCAACTCGTGAAAAAAACTGTTTTATGTTAAACCCTTGTTCAGGAATACAAATGACTATGGGTCACCAGACAGTAGCTTTTCCAAATGTGCTTTTCCGCGACAAATCTTAATGATACATATCTTCTCAATTGTTTTTATCCCTTCGCTTTCTTCTCTTTTATGCATAAATTATGGATATTTCAATGAGAATGTCGAATGATAAGGCGAAAAATATCAAAGGGAGAAACGACCTGTCACAATAAACCACATTTTTGTTTTGTTAAAGGAAACATCGCCAAAATGGTGATGCAGTCAGGCATATGCCCTTTTGAAGCGAAAAATAATATTTTCAGCCTTGCTAATTTTTTTATAGAGAATTTGTTACCTAGAAACGTTGATATTGGGGTATGTATTTCATAGAAATAATATTTATTGTCGTTTCTATGATATCCGGACTGACATCTGATATGGTACAGGCTGTGCAGAATCCATTCAAAACGCTACTGACCCTGACTGTCAATAATGATATAATTGTAAACATGTCACATCACATCATGATCAGTGCAGGATAATAGTCTACCCCGGTGAAGTGTAAGTAACTTGTATGTATAACCTCGTGCAGGTATTTTCTTTGGAGATCAAAGTTTTAAAATGATGTTTGCTAAGTTTATTTAATCTACAGATATTCTCCTTGCTTGGTGAATTTTCAAAGTCTGATACCTCCATAGAGGCTTCCCGAAAGGGTTCTTCAATTAACCGAAAACAATTTTGCTGAAACAAATACCTCTTCCGAAGCGAAAAACTCTCCGGAGCGGAATATCAGCCTCTGGTCCAAAGATTTAAAATCATATCTTCCCCCCCCCCCCCCTCTCTCTCTCTCTCCCTTTTTTTTTTTTTTTTTTTTTTTTAACTACTTAAGATGAATTCTTGAATTCTTGATTACATTGCTTGACAACCGTGCTTCTGCATGTTCACGTCGGAATGCTGAAGTTCATCTCCTCGCCTTCAAAGTGCAGCCTGTTGAATTCAAATTTGAAGGTACTTGCGAAACTCTGATACCAAAAGAATACCACGTGAAAATAAAGAAAGAGAGACTCAAGGATTTTGGGTCAAAGTAACAGCAAATTAACATCATCATGCAGAAGAGTTACGCAATAGAACTACTATCCTCCCCAATCTTCTCGCGGTTACATTATGGACGGTGACTACGTTGGAAGAAGGAGTTTATCAGAAGGCTTTTAAAAACGCGGAGATACGAAAGTTTCAGTTTCCAGAGTTTAGTACGGAAAAAATCCAGCTTTAAAAGAAGGTTAGTGGATAATATATTGTGATGAAGGTCGTTTTGAGGTCATATCCGACATACGGCGCTGTTTGAACGAAAATATCCTCTGTTTGGGTGCGATAATTTATGAATTGAGTAATGGTTACGAAGTGTTTCTGTTTCCTATCATATATTTTCAGTTCTGGCATCCAAGTCCATGCTTCACAAAGTCACTTGAAGTAATAAACTAGTAAGAAAGCGTCCAAACATTATCAAAATCGATTATCAGTCGCTTGCAATTCGATTGCCATGTCGAACTGACAGAATAACACCCAGCTTTAGCTTTTCGATGAGCGAGAGCGAAGCATCTTGGTCATGGAAAGTTGTTGTTTTAATTCGTTGCTTTAGCCTTGAAGAGTCGGTTTAAATCCATGACATTTAAATCAGAAGTTCTACTGCTGTTGTTTGCTAAACTTTCATTGTTTTAAATGATGCAAGGTTCACGAATTTCCATTAAAGCCGGAAGTGAAGCGGAAGTTAGGAACTGAACAAAAACACTTTCTCTTTTGAATGTTGGCGCGTGTGACAAATAACTTCCTTTTTGTCACCCAATCTATGTAATTATACACGCACGAGATGCAAATTCCAACTCTCTGTGACCATGAATGCTTATAAAAAGTCGGCGTAGAAAAATTCGTTGAAATACACAAAAATTTTCAAGCGAATCCTGCATAAAATCAGGAGCCATTACTAAGTAAGGGGCTCCTGCGTGAAATACATTCAACCAAAAGGGAATCTGAAATTAGTTCATTCACGTTAGCTACGATGTACTTGAAGGACAAATCATTATCAAATCATATATTGGTTATTTTTGGGGGGGCCGCATTTTGCACACATGAATTGGTAGAACAGTTTCAAGCAGGAATTGATCATTCGTCGGGCTTGTTATTGAACCATTTCAACCAGTGTCACCATACAAACTTTCAAATGTTTAAGCATTTGGTTCTTTTCACTATTTTATTTCATTAAAGGTGAGTTGTCCGTCAGTATTTTTGTTCCTATTGTTCATCATTTGCATGTATTTTCGGCGGTAACGGCTGCCAAAATACATTTATCCATTTCATAATTGTGGTGACTTTTGGTAGAGGGGTGGTGGGGTGGGGCTTAGGGGTTAGCAAGAGATTATTAATTCTTGGGGGTTAGCTAGTTAAGCTTTTGTTTACATTGCTATCGATTCAGCCTGATTTCTGTTTTGATATGAAATATTTAAGTTTGTGGACGCGGCCTAATTGGTCGATAGATGTGATTAGATGTGAGTGTTTAAAAACGGCTGTAACGTTTTAGATGTGAGCGTCAGTCAGTAAAATATTTTTTTAGAGCAATAGAGAGCCTTCCTCAAAAATTATGCAAACGTGGGACGGATTCGAGGGTTTGTGTAGCTGTCTCGAAAGCTCTCGACTACCTAAAGTTTAGATGAGATTACGTAAACAAGGAGAAAGTCCTAATCCGTGGTTTACACGTGAAATTGTGTAGGGATTCTAATCAGAGACAGGGCTCCGGGAATACCATGGCGGCCATTCCATTGTGCATACCAAACAACTGCAGCTGGGATGAAACATCGGGAGCGTTCCAGCGCGACTCGAGTCAGCCCCGCACGGGACTTCAGCCTGTAAACCCGGCACTGCGGAAACTTCGGTCCATTGGCGGACCAGTGTGCGTCGTGTCGATAGCCGGGCCATGCAGGAGGGGAAAATCGTACATCCTCAGCAGAGCGTTCGATCAAGGGGACGTGTTCCCACTGGGGCATTCGTTTGATCCGGAGACCATGGGAATTTGGCTGTGGGTAGTACCAGAGAAATACAGGGATGCTCAAGGCAGAGAGTTCACCGTTGTGCTGTTGGATTCCGAAGGAATTGATGCAGTGAGTGCAGAGGGTATTAATGATCACGCCATATTTACACTCAGCGTTCTCTTGAGCTCTGTATTAATTTACAATTCTGTTGGCGTTCCCACAAGAACTGATCTTGAGGGACTTGAGTATCCTTTTCGACTCTACTACGTATTGATCTGCAGCTGAGTGTGCTCTTGTTATCTCTTGTATGTGTCTATCTATCTTTCAATTATATCTATCACTCGATGCCTACGTTCAATTAAAGCATGTGCAATCTCGAAAAGTTACATTTAGCTTTCTCTTGTAGTCTTTCATGATCATATGCATTGGTTATTCGTGATGAACATCTTCCACAAAATGGTGCAAGTTATAAAATGAAAGGAAATTAAATGTTTAGATGCCTCAACGAGTGCTAGTCACATAATCAAGATTTCTCAGCGGATTCAAGTGGTCTCAGGACAACCTTTAGACAAAGAAGATTCACAGCACGTGTTTCCTTCTTTTGTGTGGCTGCTCAGAGATGTTGTGTTAAGTCTTCCCAAGGGCGTGGAAAACTTAAAAGCGTATTTCCTTGAAAAGGTAACCGTACCACAAAAGTTCAGAACTTGCCGTTGGTGAATGGAACGGAACTGTATTAGTCCGAACTGGTAGAAACAGTTATGGCCAAATTTGTTCTGGGGAGGGAATTTTGAGTGCTGCATGCTGCAGGCAATGTTGCAAATAATTTCAAAACCCCTTTAAATTTTAGACTTGCGTTCAGGCGCTTGACTGTTCACAGGACTGTTCATCTTCTTGTGGAGCGCTTTTCATCTCAACCGGTACTTACAATCAATTTTTTAGGCTTTCACTTGCTCAGACGGGAGTTATAGCTTTTCTCACAAAACTTTCAAAACTGTGCGTTTTGCTGGACAACAGTACTCTTTCAAGAAAGGGATAGAAAGGATCCTAACAACAAGTTTTCAAAGAAGGTTCTCGATTTGACGTTAGCGTGTTCCTGAACTTTCATGTTCTTCATGTTTTCTGACGTTTAGGTCTTCAAGATGCGAGGTCGGCCTAATGAAAAGTCTCAAAAGGTCGTGGACAACATTCTGAAGTTCTTTCCTGACTTTGACGCCTTTCCCCTCTCCCCTCCGTCATCAGATGCTACACTCATACAAAACTTAAATGAGAAGGGGAGGCAGGGGGAGATTAGTTCATCATTCAAGAAAGGAGTGGAAGAGTTCAAAAAGATGTTGCACTCAAAACTAACTCCCAAACGGAGTTTTGTTGGACAAGGATTTGTCACTGGAGAAGGTTGGCAATTTTTCTAAAGTTTTTAGAGACAGTCTAACGCTCTAGTAATAACTTTTTTCAAGAAAAAAAATTAATTTGTCGCGGGGTGCAAGGAATCAAGGAAATATGAAGAAGGGATTCTTGTCATACACGTAAACCAAATGACAGGCACTCTCTTTTTTTAATTTATTATTTTCATTCAACACTGATTTTCTTTAATTTGTCCCCTTGTTAGTTTTAACAGCTTCCCTTCTTCCTTCATGAAGTAGACACTAAAACCTTCAAAAATACACGATTAAAGTATGTATGCATTATACATTAATAAGATACGTGTTTGGATTAAATGAAACGCGGTCGTGGAGATGTCAAAATTCAAACGCCCTTTTGTGATAGAAGGTCAATTTTCAAGGATTAGAGTAAGATGACTGCCTGAATTTTGAGCCAGATGAGTTGTTTTATAACCATTTACCCGCTTGTGTCTTATTCACAGCTCTGGCAACTCTGGTCGAAGAATATATTCAAGCTGCAAATTCACCAGGGGCTGTTCCAGTTGTTGAGAGTGCATGGAACGTGTTTACCAAAACAAAATGTACTCAGACTCTAAACGATGCTAAAGCTCTGTACGAGTAAGTACTACTAAAAGACTTGCCTAAATAAACCGGAATTTCTATACGCGCGCAACTCTGCTTCCATAATGACTCCGTTTCCGAAGCGGCGATCTTTTAGTCAGCACCACAAGTGTTGTAAGGTTGACCTTGAGCCTATTTCATTTGGGTTTGCGCAGAAACTCATTTCCGTTGGCGTTTTTATTTTGTTGTTGTTATTTGCTATCCCAAGTGATCAGATCTCAGAAAAGATGGTTTTCTTCTACACTCGGAGAATCGCTTGATCAGAGCAAAAGAATTGCAGCTCTGTAACAGAAAACTATAGATACTTGCTGACTCGAAATATGCAGAAACACTGATGGAATTTATTTCTGCTGAGTCTGTTGATTACAGCTCAGGGAATAAGATCTGAGATCATAGTCGATTCCTTTCGGCAGTATTTCAAATTTTTTAATTTCTTGATTCAGTGGAGGGATACGAGAATTCAAAGAAAAGGTGTGTCTTCCCTGTGACGACAGAAAGATTCGCAATGCTCATCAAGATTATTTGTTGGAAGCTCTAACTTTTTTTGAGACTGAAGCAGAGGACACGGCTGTAATGGCCCGGTGGATGTACATCGAGGAGTTAGCGGTAAATAATGAGTTCGATGTAGATATTTAGATTCATTAAGCTGATCTTTAACCAACAAAGAGTAACTATATTTAGCTTGTTTATAGCTGTACGTTTGCTTATACCACATTTTCATAACTTAAATAAAAACAACAATAATAACAACATCGATGGACAGACGGCTATAGCAGTGCTGCCTGACGAGAAGCTTTCGCCTATATTCTCCATTGACAGCTAAAAGAGAAACTACAGATTCCTGCCAGCTGTCATAACCTATTCATTATAATTTTCGCGCGATTCTATTGGCTACTAAACATCACGTCGTATCAGCTCCTACCCTTCATCAAATTGTGATTGAAATTGGCTTTGATCATTCTTATCCTTTTAGTAAAACAAACTTGATAAGATTTCTATTACAGGACAAAGTCGAGGAAAGTGTAATCAAGAATACTTGAGTCATCCTACTTGCTATTCCTGTGGTTCTGTATGGTCATTTATTTTTTCACGCTTGTTAATTGCTCACTCTATATTCCAACATTAATCTTATCTTAAGATCATTCAAATTCTTTGTTCTTCATTTTTACCCTTTTGAGGGAATTAAGGATGGTGAACTCATGGTGCACTTGCCGCTCTCACCCATGTAGCCCGGTGTGCGATTCCTGATTCTGCTGGCATATGTAGGAAGAGTTTGTTATTGGTTTCCTTCCTTTCTTTGAGGGTCGTGTTCTTCCTTCCACGCAAAAAATCACTCCGATCTCCTTTGCTGCCAGTGGATTAACCCTTTAACTCTCAAGATCTCATTAACAATTCTCCTTACTGTCTGTCATATAAATCTTGTGATGTTAGTTTGAATCATTAGGTATTGGATCAGCTAATAATCCCTTATGGTCACTCATGGGAGTTAAAGGGTTAAGAAACACTCTGTAAATGTGCCACCGCTGAATTGAATTATTTCTATATCACTAGAACTATACAGACGAAGCTGAGAGTGCTTTGCTAAGAGAGAACAACAATCTGACTGAGGAACAGTGCAGTGACCTGATGAAAACGCTACGCGTGGTGTGGTTGGACCCAGTCCTCAAAGATGTCCATGATCCCAATGATCACGAATTCTTGATTTTGGAAGAGCGTTTGAGGTCTGTTTATCAGAAACTTGACAGCGACTTCAAGCAACAGGCCAAAGGAGACAAGAGCTTATGTTCAAACCTGGCTTACATCTATGAATTGGTATGGATAGTTTTTTTTTGTTCAGGGTACAATGAACTTCCTGTTTCATTCTCTTCCCTCCAACTCCTTCACCTGATTATTACCGCGGTTTATGGAAAGGTTTGGTTTGCTTCCTGCATACACATATTGCCCAAAACAACAAGTTAGAAAATAAATGACATACCACAGTCTACAACCATTTACTTTTTACCATCACTTAAAGTAATATTCAGTTTGCAGTTTTAATCATAATTCTCGGTCGCGAAACATAATTTTTTTTTCTAGTTTAACGGACGTTGATGAAACGTTTTAGGAATGAGAAAAGGTAACGCGGGAGGCGTTGCATAATCTGTGTCTGTATCTGAGCAACTGCACCTACCCCTTCCCTAACCCAAAAACAGTCAACTGATGACAAGTAAGGGTTGATGTTGTTTTAGTGAAGGAGTTGGTGCGCAGTTTCTCAGATACTGACATTGATCTGTGTTTCATTACACTGACAGCAACATTTTGAAGAGATGAAGAAACATCTTGCTCGACTTAGGACAAGGAGGAAGTATTATGAAGATATCTCCTCCGAGAGAGCAGCGAGAGAAGCTGAGGCTGAGGAGACAGAAAGGCTAAGGGTCAGTTTTTTTCATATTTGAGAGCCTAGATTACCAAGCTAGATACCTTTCAGGCAGGAGGAAGAATGATACTCTTTGAACATTGGTTATTTATATGCGTCATTCGCTAAGTTTGTTTAGATTAGTGGTTGTTAATATTTGAAATGGAGGTGACTATTGGATTAATGTTTACCGAACCGCAAGCTAAGGAAAAATGTTCATTAGCACATGATAGCAAACAAGTACGATTGCTGATATCACGAAGCTCGCTGAGTGTAGATATTAATTATAATAATGGTTATGATGCTGCTTTTCTTTCGATATGGCTACCTGGAGTGGTAAAGTTTCGACAAACAATACTGCTGCTATTTTATTATTGTATTTTACCCTGATGATCAACAAAAAAATGTTTTTTCGCTCGAAGAACAAGATTTGAATATAAACGAGTTTGGGTTTCTGGATACTTCCTTTATCTTAATTCAATATAGTTGATAACTTTCCTGTAGCAGTAAAATACATTTTCACGTATTTCATTGTTACTTAACTTTTTTCTTTTATTTATTTTTTCACTTTCATCCTTTTTTTTTTAGGATGAGAACTTGCATTTGGTAGAGAACAGAAAAGAAATCGAAGGAAAGGTAAGAGCTTTAGATAAAACTCTATCAACTTTTTCAATTAAATTTTTTATGATGTGTTTGTAACAAAGTTGAGAGGAATCAAAATTTTTTTTAATTTCGAGTACGAGTCAGTCGCCCATATCTTAGCAGAATTAACTATCCTTCATTTATCTGAGAGGAGATTTTGAAAGGTACATTTGGCATTTGCAGTAGAGTCTTGCTACGTCGACTATTTTATAGTCAGCAATGCATAATAAAGTTAAGGTAATAAATAGGAAGGTTCTCGTTTCCACTCTGTGCTTCGGAGGTGAAAACTTAAACAAAAACTTAATTTAATCTTTTCCACTTTTATTTCACGACATTCGTTTTACAAGGTGCTGTCTGGTTAAAAGGTAACCTATACTAAGTATCTTTAGCGTAAGTCGTGTTTTGAATTGATAACAAAATACAAACCCAAAGTCTTTGTATCTCAGATAACTCGCCTAGAGGAGAAACACATCGAAGATCAAAGAAACATCAAACGCATGGTTGAAGAACAAATGCGAACACAGAAAGAGCAGGCCGAAGCTGCCATATCCGAAGCGAGGGAAAGATCG